AGCACATGTGACGTTAGCTTGATATTCTGAAAACTCTAGAAGTGGAATTACTAGGTAAACAGGTGTGACTACTGGCTCCTAATAGATGTTGTGAAGTCCCTGCCTGTGGGGCTTGCTCATTCGTCCCCTGGATGCTCCCTCTGGTGGCTGATCAGAGGCCTGGGGATGCTGAGGCCCCTCTGCGCAGCGGGAACAGGAATGCAGGACTGGCCTGCCCTGTGGCGCCTGCCGTGGTGCTCATAAGAGCCTTCAGCTGACAGTGGACCCGACTTTTCCTCTCCAGGCTCAGGGCTGAGACGACAGTGGGAGCAGTGCAGGGGCATCTTCAGAATGTAGGATGGGGTGGGGAGCAACCCAGAGCCATGCTCTAGGAGACATGGCAGAAAACAGCTTACAGTGCAGTGCACTCTCACTGAAGTATGAATTCGATTATAAAATTTTTTTGCTGGTGCTGGGGATTGAACTTGGGGCTCTCACAGGTTAGGCACCAAGTATTCTACCACCATGGAGTTACACTTCTTGATTTTAAAATAAATGATTTGGACAACATTACTGGGTTTAGAGGAATGCTTTTTCCATCTAGGAGCCTTGGCGCACGATTCCATTTTCCCTGTCTGAGGCTGCCCGCCCTCCTCCTCCAGGAGACTGGGAGGCTCTGGCTCCTGTCTTTGGCCAGGATGCTCTCCCGAGAAGCAGCTTCCTGGTGCTCAGCAGGAAGGGCTCTCTATCCTGGCACAGTTATGGCACAGAGGGGCCCTGTCCTGGGGCAGGCGGCGAGCCTGCTCGATCCTTGCCTGAGAGCCGATGACAGGGGAGGAGGGGACCGTGTGTGTGTGGTGTCAGCTGCTGATAGGGTCGCCAGGGGGCAGGGACTCAGGAAGAAGTCTCGGCCACATGGTGACGCTTTGGTCAAAATGCCGAATCTTTATGACTCTCACCCAGTGACACTGTAGCTATTTGAGTCTGTAAATATTTTCATTACATTCCTGCAGTGATGAAACTTTTTAATGACATTTCTCAGGGTAGACTTATCCCCATGATTCAGCTACACGCAACTGCCTGGCAGCTACAAATGTCGGTCCCTGGTACTCTGTGGTTCTAAGGCTCCACGCTCACTACTCCCAGATCTGTCGGCAACTGCAGATGCCTCAGTGGGAATACGGAACCGAGGGTGAGCTGACACAGACAATACCGCCGCAAGAGTGTTCACTGTTAAGCAGAACCGAATCATTTAGTTGGCTGTGCACAGGTTTTAAGGCATAATCCAGGGCCATCACAGACTTGTGCAGAACAATTACAGAAGTGCTAGGGGAAACACCAAGGAAGAAACGCCGTGGGGACTGGATCAGAGGCGCACTTACGTGGCTGTAAATGAGGGCTCCATGCAGCAGGAGGCCGTTGGGATTGAAGCTGGCATTGAGATGTTGGGGAGAGGCCCGGTCAGTGGAAGGGAGCCGGGCAATGAACATTGTCACCTCCCAGGAGCCCAGAATGACCCACAAGGCTGCAGCAGACTCACAGCAGGTCTGTGTGGATCAGATAACGATGGCAGGCAGGAAGCAAATCCACCAAGTGCACCGGTTACTTCCCGGGACCCCCAGTAGGAAAGGTCTTCGTGCTGCTGGGAGGCTGAGGCAGCAGGATCATAGTTCAAGTTCTGCCTGGGCAATTTAGTAAAACCCTGTCTCAAAATAATAATGATGAAAATGACAAGAAAATGGCTGGGGATATAGCTTGGTACACAGTAATGAGTAATGGGTTTAATCCTCAGTACTTCCCACCCCATGAAAGCCTGGGGCCTCAGACCCCGAATGTAGGTAGGCTCACAGGCCCCATACCTGTAGGTGTAGGTGCTGAGTCCGTCATGATTAACTCCACTGTGGAGAGACCATGACCAGGCTTTGAGGCCAGACTTTCTGGGCTAGATGTGAGCACTGTGCAATCAGCTCTGTCCTCATCTCTGCCTGGGGACCCGATCTCCTGCCCAGGGAGGGCCAGGCGCCTCCAGGTGGCAGAGTGGCCTGGTGTGAGGAGGTGCAGGAGGGGTGGGGACCCCTGGCTCTGCTGGAAAAGCTGGGGTGTGGACTGTTGCTGCACTCTTCCCCCGGGGGCTGACAGACACCCAGGCAGGGACAGTGCCAAGTCCTGCTGCTGGCCTTGTGATACTTTCATCACCATCCATAAAAGTAACAGTGATGTTTAATGAGCATTTATATGTACCTAATACATACTGTTCTAAGTGCTTAAGCATTTCTGCTAGACTCACATTAACTATGAGGAAGGTACTACTATTATTAATTTATGGGCCTGCACAAGCAAACTGTATTTTGCTTTAATGTCCATTTTTGGTCAAGCATCTCAATGAATAACACCGGAAATATGAGAAAAGACAGCAGCAGCAGCAGCAGCAGCAGCAGCAGCAGCAGCAATAAAACACCCAGAGGGAACCTTAATAAGAAACCCAGGTGAGCTCACAGACATCTGTATGAAGGAAAGGAAATAGAAACCTCATTCACAGAGAGGCTGACTCACACAAAATGTCAGTATCTGCAAGTGTTTTGCCACTAGTTACATCCTCAGCCCTCAATTTACTTTTAATGCATTAATAGATAAGAGCCCAACAGAACTTTTTGAAATACTTGACAAAATGACTTTAAAAAACCAAGAATAAGAAAATTTTGCCAGGGATTTATCTCAGTGGTTCTGCTGCCTGCTTTGAAAGCACAAGGTCCTGAGTTTGATCCCTGGTACAAAAAAGAAAAAAATAACAAAACAAAACCAACCAACCAGGACAAAGAATAAGAAAAATTTGAAAAGGAAAATCTTAAAAAGCATCTTTGAGATATAACTGTAATCCAGAATGCCTTTTTGGTCCAAGGAGAGGGAAATTAACAGAACAGAGAGGTTTAAACACACCTTGTTGTACAAGTCTCTTGATCTTTAATATAGTATATTCTGTTCCCATGATATATTTGTGCTTATTTAGGAGAAAAACATTTAATAAAATAATGCTGATTCTCTAAGGTGATGCATTGTGTTTATCCCTCGCCTCTGTGTGCCTTCTGTTCTCAGAAGCACTTTTTAAAATATCTTCTTGCTTTCCTAGATAGCGACACTTGATAAGGGCTCTGAAGGCTAAAATAAGAATGATGATGTAATGAACCCCACCCATGAGTTTTCCAGGTTTCAGCTGTGGCCTCTTCTCAGAGCACATGCTCCGCTGCTCACTTCCAGGAGGGGAGCGGTCTGTGCCTTCCTTGGCTGGTGACCCTGGGGGGCTGGCTTTTCGGCTGTCTGCTGTTCACACAGCCATTTTCCTGTCAAGGTCCCAACACTGAGAGCCACCCTCGTGGGCCATCCCTAGCAACAAAACCTTGTTTTTCAAATAGATCTTAAAAATCACATTTAAACTTCCTAATTTCCTAGTGAAGCAAAAGGAACTAGGCATGCATGAAATGATAAATATTTTTCCAATCTTTTCTGTACAGCAAGAGGTGTTATGAAAGAAATGTGGCTATAGATCTCATGGCGTTCCTTTAGAAACAGCTCTTGGACCATGTGATCTTTTCTTCGTAGAACCCTTGGTTTTTTTCTTCGTGGAATCAGCCTTTTCAAAATATTAACATATAGGATTACTGGTTTTAATTTTGCCATCATCATTGCATGCAACAAAAGACTATTTAAGGGATCAAGATGGATCCCTGACAATCCATTCACCAATTACAAGCACTAGCAGAGAAAGCCATTCCAGAGCTCAGGCGTGAAGCTTTTTCATTCTCGATCCCTGAATGCACTCCAGTCCCACTCTTCCTTTAAGTCCTGCACTTGAGATGATGAGGATAGGGTGGTGGACTCAGCAGTGCTACTTTAAGGGGGCGGGGCTGAGCGCTTACTTTGTGTAGCTATTATTATCATCATCTTAATGAGTGAACGAGAGGAGAAACCAGGGCTGCTGGTGCACCTGAGGCAGCCCGACGGAACCTGCGTTTGCTCCGCACACTGCTGCTGTCCAAAGCCGATGCCGAGCTCTTGTGGGCAGAAGTAGGGGCTGCATTTCCCCGTCTTCCATACAGGCCTGGTATTTATAGGGACGGGGCAGTGGATGTGTCCACTTGCTGGTCTAGCCTGCTGCAAGGCTGAGGCCCTGCTCTCCCAGCGTCCTCTGCCCATGGCTGGAGCAGGTCAGAGCTGGCCCCCTTGGGAGAATGGACAACAGTGCCAGCCGCCGGTCAGTAGTGCCTGAGCTGCGTGGCAGCATTTCGTAACCAGGGCTCCCGAGACGACAGCACCCAAACACCAGACATGGTGTTGCATGTCAGCTGCTGTCATTTAGTCACCCGGCCCTCTTGGAACCGCCCAGAACCCAGGGCTCACACGTCATGTTCAGAGTAAACCTGGTGTTTCCCCGATGGTGACCACACAGCCCAGGCAAAGTGCCTGAGACAACATCCCACCAGAGGTCATGCTCTTGCCACAGGCAAGGGCCCACGCCCGGCTGTACGTCAGCCCCTGCACTTGGTGCTTTGGGTCACCAGTGCCACCTCAGCAAGGCCAGGGTTCTGGCCCTGCTATAATTAGTGACAGGTGATGCAAACGTCAGTCCCTCTTTCCTGGGCAGTGCGTGCTTGTCCCCTGCTCCCGAGCATCTTCCATCAATCCAGGACACCTTTTTCACGTTCACTACCTCAGACATCATTGCTGGAAGAATCGTACTCAGTGGAGCAGTGAACACTGCTGAGGCCATCAGGGCCACAGCCCCAGAACAGTGACATTCAGTGGTGAAAAGTGTTGGCAGAGGGGCCAGGGACTTAGCTCAGCGGTTCCGCTGCCTGCCTTGTAAGTGCAAAGACCTGAGTTTGATCCCTGGTACCCAAAAAACAAAAAACAAACAAAGAAAAGTGTTGGCAGAGACGGAACCAGAGGTCACCCTTGGATTTTATTTAACTTAAACTCAGGATGGTGAAATGTGCTTATTCTCAGGTCTCTGACAAATTACCTGAAGATGTTTAGTTTTCAGGAAGGAACCAGCTCTCCAAGAGACACAGATGCCCCCTCCCTGGCTGAGTTCCTTCAGCTTGTGGAGCCAGCATTTTCCAGAAGTTTCTCTTGGACGGTCCACACCCAGATGTTTCCTGACTGGATGGCACAGTGGGTGGCAGCTGCCCTACCTCTGGCCTCAGGGTCCAAGAGTTGGGTACATGGAAGAAATGAAGGAAAATGCACCAGTTTCTACCACTTGCACTTTCTCCCCGTCAGAGTCCCGAGCTTCCTATGTCACCAGGCACAGGCCTTGCTCCTCCTTGCCCACGAGGCACTGTCTCCTCCACATGCATCCCTCAGGACTTTAGGACAGGTGTCAGCAGCACCCTCTCCTTTCTCACACCTGCAGGTCAGCACCACACTGGAAATACTGGGGTCAGACATACACAGACACAGCTGATTACCGGCCCGCTCCTGCTCCCCCTCCAACAGCCAGGCTGAAGACAGCCCCAAAATGGTCACCGAGAGAAAAACAACATCATGAGACAGATCACCAGGCATGGCCTTGGAGGGAGCCTCCGGCCTGGCACACATGTCCCCACTCACCCAGCTGTCACAGTGCAGAGCAGGGACATGGGTGCCAGCAGCAACAGGGAAGTGGAGGGCCACAGCCTCTGGTGACATGACTCATGCCTTCTGCGTCCTTTCTCAGACGTCCAAAGACTAGGGTGCAGTAAAACATCTCAGAAAGATCTCCTGGCTGCAGGGCAGGGCAGGGTTCAAATGTAGATCTACTTCCTACCCGTTGTGAACACGGGTCCTCAATCTCCTGGTTTCAAACACATCCCGTTGCTCTTGCCGTTTTCTGAAGCAGTTCTGGAAGTCCTCTTCTGTGAGTGTCTTTAGTTGCACTGTTGTGGTTACCTATAATTAATTCAAAATACCTTTCATGGTCACTTTGACTGTGGAGAAGAGCCAGACGTTGAATGGTGTCAGGTCTGGTGAATATGGTGGACAAAGACATACTTTTCCTTTGGATGGCAGCAGCATTCACTGTATTTTTGATCACACCTCAAAAAGACAACCAGGAAGGACCCATAGAAGGTAGAATAAGTGGGTTCCATCTATAAGTGTGTGCAACGGGGAGTATTTTGAGAGGAATTAATGGCAATGACTTTTCATGTAATACATGTTACAAAGTTAAAACGTTTGCTGTTTGTTTTGATCACACTTTGTACAACACGAATGAACCTTGATGACACTATGCTACATATAACAGACACCAGACGCAACGGTCATGCTGAGTCCATTCAGGCAAACCAAGGGCCAGGATGCAGACAAGTTGGTGCTAGGTGGGCGAGGGGGAGAATGAGGAGCTGCTGCAAGTGGGTGCCGGCTTTCTTTGGGGTGCAAAAAATGTTCTAAAATTGATCCTGGTGCCGTCAAACAACTCTTGTATATTAAAACCTGGCTGTATTTTATGGCTTGTGAATTTCAACAAAGATGCAGCATGGCATGTGCTCAGCATGCGCGAGCCCTGGCTTAAATCGAAGTGGCTGAAAGGTTTTGCTGCGACAGCCTCAATGCCCTGTCTGTGCACTGCTCTGCAGCACACGGCTAGCACTTAAATATGTCGCCCAGCACGTAAACGGACTAGTCCAATCCAAGACGCTGTGTAGGTAGACAGTACGCACAGGCTTTTGAAGATGGGAAAAGAAGAATACCTTAAGTTTTGGTACTGATTATGTGTTGAAAATGTCAATATTTAGATGAGATAACACTAATAGAATTAAATCTGCCTATTTCATGTTAATTAAAAAAATCTATAAAATTTGCCACCAGGTAATTTAAACTTTGTCATCTGCATTACATTTCTAATGAATAGCTCCATCTGATGCCATCCTTTTATATAAATTTTTATTTTTATTTTTAGAGGATTTTAAAATGTGATGAAAACATAAATGATACGTTAAAATTATCATTTTAAACCTTTGATTTTCCTTTTAAAGTAAATACACATTTACTGAAGTTGGAAAGAGCAGTATGGAGAGGTCCTGCCTACCCTTCACCCATTTCCCCAAAGGTACCGTCCTGCAGAATTGCAGAACAGTACTAAACTGGAAGCCGATATCTACACCATCCTTTTAAACTTTTTTGTGGGCCACTGATCAACCCCTGGTGAGGAAGAATCTGAGGATGTAATGGGAAATGGTCTCTTAAAATTGTCGATCCTCTATAAAATAAATATTGCTCCTCTCGGAACAATAAAAACAAGTGGCAATCCAAATGTAGGTTGCTTGCTGTCTGTAAAGACACGTTTCACAGACCCTGCAGTGGTTTCTCATCCTGGGAGCGGCATCTGCTGTGGCTCACACCCTGCACCCTGTGGTCCTGTGGATCCCACTGGGCTCCAGTGCCCATCACCAGGGCCAAAAGGCTGAGCACACTGTACTTGGAAGAAGCCACAGCCTCCACAAAGGATGGGAGCCACCTCCCCACTGTTCTTTTCAGGGAGAGAAACTGTCCCCGAAGCTTCTAGGGGATGCTTTTAACTGACAACCATGAACAAGTGGGTTTAGGAATTTCGCCTCCCTCTTCTTGTCCCTCAGGCCACCACTTTGTGACCGGGTCCTCTGACCCCTTTCCTGTTCTGTTCACAATTCTGATTTCTTGGATGACCATGTCCCTGGATCCTCCTCCATGGCTGCAGGGACAGGCAGGCTGATCTCACCTGGAGGACGAGGCCATATCCGGCATAGATGCCCTGCTTCAGCACTTGCACAGCTGGGCCTCACCTCCCAGAGCCTCGATGAGCCGCTCACATGGCAACTGCTACAGTGTCCCTCAGCTGGGTGACAGAGGCGACCTCCACGTGAGCACCTTCTCAGCAGGTGACCACAGCCTTGCCTACCCTCTGGATGACCAGGGCCAATCTACACATCTCAGGGTCCTTAACTTGGTCCTTCTGCAAAGTCCCTTCTGTCATAAAAGGTCACATTCACAGGTTCAAATCCAAAGCAGCCCCAAAAGGATAAGTTGGAGATCAGGCACTGTGGAGAAAGTGGGGATGGGGCTGGGACAGGCGCAGGGCAGGGGCAGGGTGGGAGGGCAGTGATGCTGCCACAGGCCTTTTTTCAATTTGGGTAAGTACCTAGATTATGCTTTCCTTATAGGTTTTGTTTTGAATGTGGATTAGGCCCCCAGCTCTAACCATACAAATGAATTGATTCTGAAATCTATGAGGATTCTGGGAATATGCTCCTCACCCACTCCACCTCTCTATCCGTGATGCAGGGAGGGGCTTGGGCTGGGATGCGTGTGGCCGGCAGGGACCTGGCTGGCACTGGCCTCATTTCAGTGAGTGCTGCTAGCCAAAGAGGGGCCGCAGAATGGGACCACTGCTTCCTACTGAGGCCAGGATGTCGAGGGGATCTAGGGACAGGGAGTCTGCACTGCTGCCACTGGCATCCACTGTGCTGGGAGCGGGGCACCCTTCACTCTGATCACCTTTGGAACTGCAGCTCCCAGGGCCCTCAGCCAGACCCGAGCCCAGGATGGTTGAGGGAAAACAGTGGAGTGACGGAGGGGAGTCTGGGAGAGGGCAGGGGAAGAACTGCACCAACTCGGCTGCTCATAAACTCCTGCTTCTGGGGGAGGCTGACACACAGCAAGAGCACTCCGGAAGAACAGCTAGGAAATGGTGCAGAAGACGGCTACTGCAGACATGGGAGAGTAGCACGGAATTTCCAAACCACCGAGAGACCAAGGGGCAGGAACAGGTACATAAATGAGTATGATGGTGCTCTCTGCTATTGAGCGGACTAACTGGGGTGGGTAACAAAATTAAAACACCTGAAACAAGTGAGGCAGACCGAAGATAAAGAGATGAGGTAAGCCCCCCACCAGGTGCATCTGGAGGAGAAAATCTCAGTTCCCATCAGATGAGGCAGGTCTGAAAAGCACCAAAATGATGCAGCATTCACAAGCTCACCTGAATTTACACCGTGTAGGACTGCAGCTTAGCGGTTTCAGGGAGCGCACACGGTGGTGTGTGCCATCCAGCCGGGTGTGCACAGACTCTGCTGTCCAGGTGTGTTGTGAGAGCACCCCGGTGTTCCCACAGTAACACAATCAACATGTACAGAGTTCTCTGGACACAGGACTGGAAATAAAGCCTGTGCTACTGGAAGTGACAGGTTATACATGCATCTTCTCCAAAGCTTGTCTATAAAATATTTACAACCAGTAGGTATTAGAAAAGGCAATGAAGGACTTTGCCAAAAGCATTAAACAGTTAACTGGAAGTGTGTAGCTCTAGAGCCTGGGTTTCATCTTCAGCACGGGATGAAACTCAAACCAGGAGATCGTCCAGTCTCTCATATGATACCTGATCTAGTCATGCTCTCTTCTTAGGCTATTTTTAGGATTTGCAAGCTGGCTGCCAGACCTGTGTGTTGCTTTCTCTCTCATAGCAACCCTCACCATGCACCCATTAAAGATGACCTTCTAGAGTAATACTTTTGTAAAAAAAATTTTTTGTAAAAAGAGCAGGACACAAGTATAAGTGGGGCAACAACTGTATTCCTTGGCTTCACAGCTGTACCCCTGACTTCCTGACTTATACCTTTATCTCATGTTCTAATCGATGGTGAGATCTACCAGATTAACCTAAATCAAACTTCCTGGGTCACACCTCCCCCTTGAGGCTTTTAGGGACATGCACACAGCAAAGAAGGAAGTGTGTATTATTTAGTTTCTTACAATTTTTACACCTGTCCTATTCATTACCTATATACTTTATAAATGAGTAAACAGAATCAGAGGGATTTAGTCATTTGCACCATTAGTAAATGAGTTACGGAGCTGAGATAAATCTCCCAGGGCACGGGACTTACAAATCTATGACTTTTGTTTGGTCTAAACACAGTTCCTCTGAAAGTGTATCTGCAATGGAAACCTTACATTTTTTAGAGAGAAAGCTGAGTGTGAGACTTAGAGATCTGGTTTCCAAGTTTGAACTGGGGGAGAAATAGGTGTCTGGAATATTAACAGAGTGACCCTGTGTGAGGAAATCACAAGCCATCATTTCTTGGATCACATAAGCAGAACTTACCTTTGTGATGCTCCATGGGGATGAGCAAGCCCACTTGCCTAGTTTTGTCAAGTTTATTCTGATTTGGCCAGTAAAGAAAGCTGGCGGAAGCAAGGAGAACTAGAACTCCGGTCCATGTTTAACCTGTTAGCAAGTCTGCCGAAGCCACAAAGCCTGTGGCAGCTGTGGCCTCAACCAAGCTCATGGGAAGTGAATCTTGCTATGGAAATGGTGTTTCATTCCTAGGGCAGGTGATTTGCTGCTGTCCTGGATAGAGGTGACAAGGTGACCAGAACGTGCAGCTATCTCCCTGAGGAATAGGCAGTGGTTCATTCGCTTCTTAGTTTTTGTGAGAAGTGGCCAGGATGGAACTGGGGCCTGCATGTGGCAAGATGTATGCACATGTGTGCCAGGAAGCGTGAGGGCCACTTGTCTTGGAGCCCTTTCATGGCGGTGCTACACAGGACACTATGATGTTTACATGGCAGCAAGAAACAGGGGACCCCTCACTCTCACATTAAAAAAAATTAGTATAAGATGATCAGTCATTTCCTTCGCAGGTTTTCTAAAATTTAATTTTCACAAAAGAGCACATTTTGCCTGACTCTGGAGAGCAGATTTCTGATAGTGTCTGTTATCTGCTAGGAGCTGAAAATATGGGGTGCACAGACCCGCACAGGTTGAAACGAGGCACAGCGCTGTCTCTGAGGAAGAGGCCTTGAGGGAAGTGAACCTGACCGGTCTGGCCTCCATCATCAACTCCAAACTCCAGCATCTCTTGGAGGGCCTTAGAAAATTCTGCTGCTTGGGCCACACTCAGTAAGTTATGATATTTCGTCTGGGTTGTCTGAGGTGTTGCTTATAGACCAAAGTTTTTAGCAATTGTGGTAAAACACACAATCACTCATCTACTTTGTGTCTACATTTCCCTACTCTGGACAGTTCATATGGATGGACCATCTAGAAAATAACACGAGGTTTTATGGTATGGACCTTTCTTTGTCCTTTCCTCAAGGCTTCTGGGCTGCTTCTCTTTTTGGGGGTCACTGTAAATAATGCTGCTATGAATATCTGCATACAAATGTGTGTGTGTGTGTGTGTATATATATGTATATATATGTATATATATTTTTTTTAGATAAGGTCTCCCTGTGTAGTTCAGGCTGGCCTCAAACTCATGGCGATCCTCCTGCTTCAGCCTCCCTGGTGCTGGGATTACAGACATGCACCACCATGCTCGGCTATGAGGATTTGTTTGAACACCTGTCTCAATTCTTTTGGGGTGGGACTGCTCATGTAGTAATTCCATGTTTAACTTATTTACAAAGCAACAGGCTGTTTCCCAGTACACCAATCTTTGAAATGCCCATGTGAATGTGTGTCTGGGTGGGGTTGAGAACCAGGCTGGTTAAGATCCAACTATGTTTGCACAGATCGTGAATGACAAAACACAGATGAAGCCAGCAAAGAAATTACAGGAACCAGTAGGGGACGGGGACAATGAGTCTGTGGATGTCTCTCGGAAGAGCCATCAGACAGACCCTGCCCCAAATCCTTCAACATGGGGGCCACAGACGCATACTCTGCATTCCAGGCCCTGGGCACCATCCACAGCACCAACAAGAAACAAAACTACACAACAGAGCCACACACACTGGCAAAAACTATGAGACAAACTGAAACACTTTGATAATACTAAGG